GAGACCAAGTTGCGAAAGCAAGGTCAAACAACTTCTCTAAAAGGTACAATTATGTATAAATGTGATTATGCTAAGTCGAGAGTCAACAAAGTGAGCATGCCAAAGATTGGGCTGATAAGTGCAGATCTTCTGTTTGTGCAACAGGCGTTAAGGCCCCAACCAACCTGTGCATCTGGTTGACTGTTCCAAAATACGATGCAGCTGGTTGCATAAAACAGCAAGCTTGCCCTCCGACTGAACCAGTTGACAATCAGGTCCTCTATCTCCAACCCGATTATTTCCAACCTCTGCCCTCCTTGCCTCCTCCAAAAGGTCTGGTTGCATCTGCTGCTCCATTTGGATCTTTTCTCCGACGTCAGCCCAGCTTCTTGGCCAAAGAGCCGGGCCGTTGGCCAGCCGGCCGACTGGTGTCCTTTCTATCATTGAGCTCGAGCAGTACCACTGCGGTGGCAATAGCAACGGCATCTGATGGGCATTGAGAGGTTCAGCTATGACGGGCACCTGCGAAGGCCAGGTCATTTCAGACTGACGACAAGATGTACCAAACGAAGCCGAGCAAACCAGCGGAGTAGAAGGATGACATTGAGCTGGAGACGTGGAGAGAGAAGAGGCCAATGCAATGGAAGTCAGAGGAGACGCTTGCACGACAGTTTGATGCCCCGGATTCTCTGAGCTGGACTCGTAGCCAGAGGTTGTTTGTGCCTGTCAGTCGCCAATAAGGTTCACAGGTATGAGAGGTAGGATATTGGTGCATTTGTATGGCCGGTTAGGTAGAACGTGTGCAGCAGAGAATGGGGTTATAGTGATGCCGATGAGCAGAAATGTAGGATTCGGGAAAGGTGGATAGTTGGGCAAATGGAAGGAATAATATATTTCGGGAGGAGGATGGCGAACAGCATTTGAAGCATATACAGTTAAAGTAAGGCAAAAGGTTGGAAGACATCCCATTTCTTATAAAAATAAGACGGCATTTGTGTAAGGTGTGGTGGACAAATGTCTTAAGTGAGCGCCAGACAAGTGATCGCAATATCCTAGAGCCCTTAGGCGTGATTTTCCAACTTAAATAGTTAATACCATTAAATATCATCACACCTTAACAAATAGGGAATCTGTTTCCTTCAAAAAGAGTCTAAACTCAATAGGAAGCAAGTCCATATACGGTCAGGCTTGCGAAGGAACCAAACACAAAAGAGAACCAAGAAGACTCTACTCAACTTCGACTGCGAAACGTAATTCGTGTCTTCAAGGTGTTATTGAGGAAAAAGAGATGACTGCCTACGAGCAAAATTATTAAGAGTCTCTTCTTCAACATAACATGCTCCAAACGAAGCCAGGATGGCCTCGCGGAGCTGCGAGCAGTCGACTTCGCAGAGAGGTCGGATCAGCGGCCAACTGCGCTACACCCGACTTGTTGGTGAGGCTGTTGAGTTTAAACAGGCTAACTGCTGATGGACAGTGCAGCTGGCGGTGGTCATCCCCGATGAGGTTATGCGTTTTCAAAAGTCAGTTATGCCAGTTCCTCTGGGCCCCACATGTGCAGCCGAACCGACATACACTTTATATGATCCCAGTTAAACCTAAGAAGATAACATCGTCTTTAACGTCCTATACCACAAACAGCGAAATGCTGGACAGAAATGCAGAGCCTAAAATCATTCTCGACTAGAAGAGAGGAGGTTGGCCAGCTTTTCTAGAATATAAGCGTTCTCTCTTGTATGTACCTAGATTTATGCATATATATGTATGTGTTGTGTGTAAGTGTGTGTGGGTTTGTGTGGACGTGGGTATGTAGTTGTGTGGGCGTCTCGTATATGCATATATTTGCGAGAGGATAGAACAGCTCGTTGAACCTTCATGAAATGGGCGTTGCCTCTGTAAGGGATTGGAAATAACAAAATTCTTCTGCCTATGGCTTCCTTCTATCCTAACAACCTCTCTGGCATTCCTAACTTAGCTTCTTGACTGTCAAAATCGATACTTGCTGGTTGATCAGTTGGGTTTCCTGTACACTTAAACAGAAAACAGTGGACTTACAGTTCATGGACAGAGTAAAGCCACCAAAGTCTGTATACTGGGTCATGGTTCCTGTCCATTTTGCTAGTCTGAAAGGCTTATTATTCACTTTGCAAAGGGCGTCAAATGATTTCCCATCACAACGGTGGCGTAACGATACAGAGAGGAGAAGAAACGCCATATTTGTAGTGAATAATCGAGGCTGATCAGTGCCTGCGAGGAAAAGCGATACTGCCTCAGCGAGCCTCGGGACAAATTGGAGAGGAAATTTCGAGTAAAATGCAGCTCTATGCCTTCAAAAGTCATTTGCCCAGCAGATGCGCCCCCACAAGTGCACACTATTAACTTCCGATATGCCCAGTCTAAGCAAAGACGTGATGATGACAAATCAAAAGATCACTTCAGACACATTTTCAGATCTTATTCAAGATCTACTAATAGTCTTGGAGCATACAAATTATTAATATAAGCGACACAATGATTGCGATAGCAAAATACACTTATATGAGATCATTTACAAAACGAAAGATAAGTAAGGTAGTCGATTGCTATGGCAAATACAACTTTGCTTCATCGAAAATCCCACTCCAGAATGTGATATGGGCAAATGCCTAGCCTTCCCTGTAATTCACATCTGCCCTGTGACCCAAATGGCACTCGTGGCAATGTGGAGTAGTGGTTAACGTGTCCAGCTTTACTGGTAGTCTCGAAAACCTACTCACATACGGATGAGGTATTTAGTCAAGTCGAGTATCACTAAACTCTGCTGGACTGACATGCCCCGGATACGGAATGCGAAGTGGAGAGATATGTGGGACAATGTCATCACAACACAAGTTATACCAGGTCTATTGTGGCTTTTGTACATTGAACCATCTGTTCTATCCGTTGGGGTGAAAATGTGATTAGCTGTGGTATGGCATATTTGAGGCTTCAGGGAGTGTGTCAGTGCGAACCTTTCAGTATCGTAAAACGAAAATAGGCATAGGAAAACCGTATTTACCCTATTTCGTTTAAGAATATGATATGGCAAAAGGCCTGGCCTTCCTTGAAATTCACATCTGCCCTGTGACCCAAGGGCACTC